TCGTGATCAGGCGAGGGGCATCTTTCGCATACCCATTCTCTTGTGTTTATAACATATTCTTCAATTTGTTCATAACGTTTCGGAGGATGCATGCAAATGCCGTGATAGAACTTCTCACACACAAAACATACCATTCCTGCTGTTATTACGTTTAAATCTTTTTTGCAGACAGTGCAATTTCCTTGAATTGCAAGCATTTTCCTGTTTTCCCTTTGTTTAAAAAATTACGGTTACTGTTTTCAGGCCGATTGAATCCAGACTAAAATAGCATATATTAAAACACCTACGTCGACATTGATTTCTTATCATTGAATATCTGCAGTTTTCATTCTTCTTGCATAAATAGCCAATAGTGTTCGTTGTATATTTTCCTAATTGTTCACAAAAAAGAGTACGTGTTCACAACTGTCACCAGATAACGTTGAATTATTGGAAGCATATGTTTTTAAACATATTATCGTAAACAATCATGTCACATGATTTAATGTATTAAAAAAACTTTTTTTTACATTACTGTATCTTTTTAATCTGATAAACAAAATTACCTCACCAACCTTACATTTTAATTTTAGTTAATTATACTTTTAATACAAGGTCTTGGTTGAGATGAAAAAGCAAATGTCACGAGAAGGATTCGAACCCACGACCTTAGGTCAACATTAAACCAACCGAAGGTCTTGGATGTGAATCTCGGTCGTGACTCTTGGTTTTTCATCTCTACCAAGACCCTAGATTAAAAGTTTAATTAATTAAAATTAAAATTGAAGGATGGTGGGTTAAGTTTGCCCATCATTTTATAAAGGTGCAATATTGTTATATGCCCCTACATGCGAACCACTCGCTATTATGCTAGACTAGACTTTAGGTCCCCAGGGCCGACTTTTCGAGAAAATTTCAAATGTAAAAGAAAAAAGTTGGATTCTACAAATGTATTGAAAGAACTAATGTATTTATTGGCGTGAATGTAAGCCGAAGGCAGAATATTGAGAGCCAATTCATCGCTCATTTGACTAGTGTTGTCTTAAATAAAGGCGTTCTTTTAATAATGGTAAATAATTGATTATGAACGAGAGAACAAAAATAACAATGTACTGAGTACATTTTGGCATCGGGTAATTGTTCATCTGTCGATTCATTATGGGCCAAGTTCCAGATTCCTAATTCGGCTTCTATTTTTAATGTATTCTCTATGGTGCCTTTCTGAAGTTCAATGTTCCTTGCCTTTATTTAGTCCAAATACTTCTTACACTTTAGTTGATAAATTTGGCGATTTTATACGGCATATCTTTTAAGGTCTAATATATTACATGGATATTTACATACTATATTTCAGGCTTATAGTTTAATCCTTTACTAGTATTGAAAAATGTTAAACATTTTTAAATGAACTAGTGGGAATAATTAAAAATGATCAAAAATGGAATAATGGTGAGGTTTTTGTCATAAGTTTTATCGTCATTCAATTCTATTTCATCTTATTCTCTTTTTCTTCAGTTTTACTGTGTAATTTATAAATTATTAAAGACTTTGTTGATTTGAGAGAGGGGATTTACAAATAGTTTTTGTTTTAGATAATTTTATTAGCGGTATATCTTTATTTACATTTTTACATTTTTGAACTAAAAGAAAAGGCAAATTTTATATAAAATATGAGAAAGGTTATTTCAGAAATCGGATAGATTTATATTTAAAGAAGCTTTCCGAATGTGGAATTTCGTTGAAAGAAACACAGATGCTGGAGCGTACTCTTTTGCGTTATTTCAAATGGCGTTCAATATAATTCTCAGTTGTTAATCCTAATTTTCTAGTTGCGAAATTCAATCTTTTTCTATAAATGTCCTATAATATGAAAATATTAATTAACCGAAATTGTAATTGCTGTTTCTTCTCTCACTTTTTTTCAAACGTGAAAATGTAAAAAGCGTTTTAAAAATTCACCTCAGCCACATGGATGCATACTACTGTTACAGTAATTCCTCCTATGATGTACAGGATGAAAACTATCATGAATACGTTACTCTGAAAAAAAAAATCGAGTAAATTATATCAATTTTTCCCAGTATAGTTTAAATGTTAAATCAGTTTGTCGTACCGCCGGAACGAAGACTCCAAACCCGATTGTTGTTAAAGATTCAAAAATGAAACAGAAAGCTGGTAGGAAGTCGGGAATATCGAATATCATGATAATCACCCTCCCGACCAATATAGACATTAATTCTAGTTTGAAGACAAGCCATAACGGCAAATTTGGGTGTTCTTCTTCACTAAAATCGATCAATAGCGTTCCCAAGGTGTCTCTTGATTTTGATCGATTTCCTCCATATTCGCCTTTAGGTAAAAGACAACTGTAGAGAAAAAAACAAAATAAATTATAACAACTAACTTTGCAATTATAATTTCTAAATGCGTGCTAAATAATAACCGTGAAAATTTAAAAAATTCTGCAAATGAATTAGCACATTGTTTTTTGTTGTAGTTAGATTTAGATCGTAGTTAGAATATCGATTTTGTTTCTACAACTTATCGGCCTTGGAGAGCCCAGATCGCTAATCTAATACCTACGGGCTACAAATATGACGATAAAACGATGTATGTTACTTAATGTAATGAATGTATTTATTAGCAAGAATGAAAGTGTCAGACTCATCGAGCCCAGAGGACACGAATGAATGAGACATGTGTCGACGGTATTTATGAAAAAGGGGAATGAAAAACAGCATGTAGCATTGTAGTGACTGAATGTAATTTATTAGTATGGAAGGAAAGACTCCGAGGAATGTCGAGTTCTTTGTGATTATGTGAATGAAGTCCCGAGTAGAATGCAATTGATTAGCGCGATTGGAGGTTTTTTTTTCACCAATTACCTTTAAAAATATCAAATACTCTTAGGTAGTATAAATTCTAACATGTTTTTAATCGAATCGTATACATTTTTACTACATGATTAAAGTATTTTGTATTTATCATATGTATAGTTTATCCTAGACTGTCGATGCCCTGAGATAGGAAAAGGTTGGCAATAGGATTGGAAAACAGGAGATTCGATTAGTTTAGCATGCAAAGAAGAACCCCAGTAAATTGTAGTGAATCGAGAAAGATTAGTTATCAGTTGAAGGGTTTTATTTGTCACACGTTGTATATGACTTCTTCAAAAGAGTCGCGAATTAAATACTGCACCCAAATATATCATTTCATTCACATATTTAAGCGTTTATTATTCAGGAATTTGTAAATAAGCATAATTCATTATTTCCTCGAAATAACCACCATGATTTGTTATTATTGAAGACCACGTGACCACTTTGTTTGTTTGAGGCGTGTATCTGCTTGTGCGGCTATGTATGTATATTTAAACATACTATTGTTAAAATATAAATGCCTTAATAATATTTTAGCGCTAATTAAAAAAAGCTTTTCGAAAATAGTTTTAATGTTTAAATATTTTTACGTTTTATTTTATTATTTTTCTTCGTTGACTTCGCCACTAGGTTCCAACTGTGATAGAAAGTCACCTATCGTAATATTCCGAAGCTCTGGTTTCCAGTTTCGTATTTATTATTTTAAACTTTTTTCTCAACTTCCACTAGAAATAGATCAATTGTCATTAAATTATATAAAGGCTGGAATGATTTTTTTTAAAAACTAAACTTGTGGAATTACAGTTTTTGCATTCTTTGAATATTATAAGTTAAAAAGTTTCATTCGAATCAGGTGAATTAATCGTTCTTGCTTGTAAAACATTTCTCTAAAAAAAAATATTCACTCACCATTATCATATGTATGGCTGTGGCCGTCATGACGTGCCCCCCAATAAGAAACATTATTGAACCAAGCAAGAATTTCCTATTCTGAAATTATAGATGCAGGTAAACAATCAAGTCTAATTTTTTTAATACTTTAATTAGACAGTTTAATACATACCTTTGGGATCGCATCACCTAAGCCAATGGTTGCCAAGGTTAAAACAACGAAATAATAGGATTTGAAAAAATTCCAGCTCTCGCCGATCATGAATAGTACCGATCCTACAAAGACATATACAATGTACAAAACGAAAAAAAGCCAAAGTGGGAATCCACTGAAGTCTTCGTCCACATCGTAATTATACCCAAATAATGTAGACCTAAAAATAAAATAAAAATATGAAAAACAAAAGTGTGTTCAATCAATTTTTAACAGTTAGATCGATAGCAGATTGATACATTACTTTACTAGTGCATCATGTGAGGTTACAGATCCAATAAGTATATATGAACTGGGATTTTTAAGTAAAAAAGTAGTTGCTAGAGTGTTTAAATTCTTTACATTTTCGTTAACTAAGGAACATAGAAAACAGTTTTATAATAAAAGTGAAATAATTTAATTACACTATTATATATATTATATATATTATATNAATTATTTCACTTTTATTGTAAAACTGTTTTCTATGTTCCTTAGTTAACGAAAATGTAAAGAATATAAACACTCTAGCAACTTCTTTTTATTTTATAAAATATTTATATATAGGAAATATAAATTAAAATGAACTATAACGAAATTTTAAAATAAAATGTACAATTGTTTGACGGCTTTTGTTTTGAGGTTGTTCGATATGCCACTCCTAACTGAAGGATGGAATTTCTTTGTTCCTTTTAGAGAGGGAGTAGGTATGCAACCCAATATGAGGATTAGGCTTGAGTAAGGCAGCAAGCAACTGGGCCCTCTGTGCAGATTCTTAGAGGAACAGGGTAGTTGTAGTCTATGTAGTAATGAAAGTTTTGTGCCTCTAGTGTTGAGAGTGAATGTATTTATGAGTGTGAATATGTAGTGTGAGAGGGACCTTATCGACTTCCAATCATGTTTGTTATATAATAGGTGTGTGGCACCCGGAGCCCAACCTCTGTGGCTTTTGTTTTAGATGGTCAAAAACTAACTAAATAGACACCTTTATGAGTACTAGTTCTGAGGGACGATGTAACAGTATAACCTAATATGGTCTAAATACTCTAAATAAGAGCTAACAAGAAATTGGATTGTAAAACCGAAAATGCTAGAAGCTGAAGGGCATCCTACTCTTCACTTTTATTCCGATCAACCTTATAAATACTTTAGAGTTTGTGTTGGATAATCTTTCTTTCTTTTGCAAAATCCGATGAAAGAGATCACAGGATAGCGTCCTTGATCCATTGGTATACACAGTATACACCGCCATATTACCAAATCCCGATCCCGTCATACCTAACTGAAACCTACAGGCACACCTCTACTCCTCCTTAGAGCGTGGTTTACAAAATGGTGCATTAAACACCTCTAAATAAAAAAGCATCTTCCGATGCACCATCTCCTTCCAGCCTATTACAATTTTTATGTTTTCCAATAAATACGTAATCCGGTGTTTAGAAAAACAACTCACTTGGAACTTCATAACAGCTTAAAAGAACAGAACTGAATCGACACTACTGCTTAATTAAACATCTACTTAACAACATACTATATTATACATACTATACATTACATACTACATACTTACATACTATATTACATGACAGCAAATGACGTATCGACACCACCATACTAAAACCTATATGGACTTACAGCATTGAATTATGAGGTTCAACTGAATTTTCCAACCTCAATTGAATCCAAATCACGTATACTAGGGAGGATAGGGAAAAAAGAGAAAGCCTCAAGGCCTTCTGCACCTCGACATGAGTAGATCCTTTGTACACCCATGTTTTTTATAACTCACTGGCCAGCTTCAGGTTGTTATACAACTTCCAAAGCCTTGCCAGCGTCTCCTTAGTGCAGGATCATGCTTGTGGCGTTTCCTCTCCCTAGTTTCAAGAATCTGCACCTACATTTGACCTTCACAAAACAAATTATGTTCTGTGGTCTCAGTATCTGCACAGTGTTACTTCTGTCTGTACTCCTATCCTGTGCTTGGGCATGTGGCAGTGTCCTATCAGGAATCCTACCATAATCCTGATTTGGTTGCGGTCGTCATCCAGTAATTCTTTTGTAAGATTTGCGATGACGCTTTTATGAAACTTTTCGCGTGCCACTTATTTTTTATTAAAGACGTTGCAAGGTCTAGGTAATAAAAAATTCAACAAATGTTCAATCACACATCCAATTTAGCCCCGGTCCTAATCTTAATAATACACCTAGACGTCTTAAAAGCACTCTCGACTTACTCTCAGAGCGCGAATGAAAGATTTTATTGTTAAAACGAGTGCTATTACTCGATAGCTTCTCGATTCTTGTGTGTTCAGTGGTGTCTTTGTCATTAATGTTAGTTATTGCGCAGATTGTAGCAAAATATTGCTTTAATTAACTTGTTTCTCTTCACGTTTATCTAACTTACTTTCGACGTAGGTAAATTTTATTCGAACCGAGATGCATGAAATCGTTAAAGGTTTTACCAAGGGAAGAGGCAAAAGTTAGAAAGAGGGGTATTCCTGTCAAAGCGTAGATAATTGTGAAAATTTTTCCAGAATCTGTCACAGGCACGATGTCTCCAAATCCTGTAAATATTATTATAATTGTAATTGGTTTATGTTGAGGGATTGTGCAACTCACCGACAGTCATTGAAGTCGTTGCACAGAAGAAAAGACTCCCCAAAAAATCCCAGTTTCCGTCTTTAACAATGAAACCTGAATTTCTTGTGTGATTAAGAATCACACTCTCGATAAAATCATAATATGACGAAAGTAGGTTAGCTGAAATATTATGTAGTAGCGAGTCGCTGTTATTAAACTCGAGTTTTGAAAAAGTATTGTGTACCTTGAAAAGAATGGAATACGATTAAATGTCTTTTATTCTTAAAATAGCGCTATTTTACACAATACAAACACTAGTATTTATTATTCACACTTACAATTAAAGGTTTTACAATAAATAATTTTAGTAAATAAATACTTTTCGTAAATGTATACATATGTACATACCATTGAAAATTCGTTCGAAATTGAAGATCTTCTTGACAATATCTTCTCTTGAAATTTTTTTTCGTGTGATCCTTCGATCACGTACAATACTACTGCTCCTACAAATGTATGTAGGATGAGACTAGCAAAAAGTATCAGTTGGGTCGGCCACCTCATATGGTGCTCATCGATCTTTAAAAAAAACATCAGCATCTTTTTTCTTAACGGAGGAGCATCCAATTTTTCCAATACTATAATTTAAAAAATGTTTTAATTCTTAAATAGATTTTCGTCGTTATTAATAAAGATTTGAAAAAAGTCTTTTACTCGAACGTACCCTTATGCTTTTTTTTACGTTTTGGCGTTTTTATCAGAAATTTGTATACAAAGGTTCGATGTTTACGTATCGGTCCACCAATGTTCGAATCTTTTTTGAAATGCGTATATCTTTTTGATAATCTGTAGAAATCGAGACTGGAATATTTTGAACGGACAGATGGTAGAACTTCACCTATTTTGAGCATCCTCCTTGTTTGAACCCAACTTTTTAACGTGACCGGAAGCTCACTCTGGGCCTCGCGTAAATTTATTCGCTGCCTCAGCTCGCTGTTCTGTTTTCTGATCATTTTAGCGCTGGTACTTAAGTAGTCACACTTACGCGTGATAACCGAGACTATTTCGTCGATCATCATGATAGCTTCGCGTAGTTGAAAAAGGATTTCTGCGTTTTGGCGCACTTTTTCCTTATCTTCACCAGTCCTGACTTCAAAGTCGTGATCAGGCGAGGGGCATCTTTCGCATACCCATTCTCTTGTGTTTATAACATATTCTTCAATTTGTTCATAACGTTTCGGAGGATGCATGCACATGCCGTGATAGAACTTCTCACACACACTACATACCATTCCTGCTGTTATTATGTCCAAATCATTTTTGCAGACAGTGCAATTTCCTTGAATTGCAAGCATTTTACTTTTTTACTTTGTTTAAAAACTTACGGTTATTCCAGACTAAAATAGTATATACTAAAACACCTACGTCGACGTGGATTGAATATCTACATTTTTCATTCTTCTTGCATAAACAGCCGATAGTATTCGTTGTATATTTTCCTAAATGTTCACAAAAAAGTGTACGTGTTCACAACAGTCACCAGATAACGTTGAATTATTGGAAGCATATGTTTTTAAACACACTATCGTAAACAATCATGTGACTTTTTTTTTGGGGGGGGGGCGAATCACCTAGGGTTGTTAGCCCCTTATCTTTTAAGAGGATCCCCCTGCGGAAGGAGGATCGAGGAACCAGTACACACCAGAAGGGCGCACCCGCACCACAACCCCCAGCATGGCCAGCCCCACGACAGTCCCATGTTACACACTGCTCGTTTATATTTTGTTGTGTAGATTACCTTCATTTAAAAAGTGAAACAGCTTTGTAGGTGTGTCTTGATCATCCCCTAATTGTTCAGATAGTGTGTTTGGTAAAGCGTTCTTATTTCTGATACTGTCATATAGGCGACATGATATAAGCATATGTTTTATAATAACAGTCTCATTGCATAAATGACAGATCGGTGGTGGCTGACGAGCCATCAAGTAACCCTTGGTGGCTCTACAGCGCCCGATTCTCAGTCTAGTTAGGATCGCTTCTTTTTTTCTTTATCTCTAAATGAAGAAGGCCACACTGGAACAGTAGATTTTATTTCCCGAAGCTTGTTATCTGTGACATCTGACCAAACCTTTTGCCATTGTGTCCATACTTTACTTTCTAAAGCGGAATTTAAATCATTCCTTATGATCTCCCTGATTTTGGTGCCTTTTTCTGCAGCCTCTTTGGCAGCTCTGTCCGCCAGTTTGTTGCCTAAAATATTCATATGCCCAGGGATCCAAACAAAAATGACACTCTTCCCCCGCTGTGAAAGACACCTCAGTGAATAATGGGCATCCTGGACCATGGAGTTATTTGAGAAGGGGTGGTTCAAGGCCTGTAGGGCGGACATCGAGTCAGTGCAAACTACCAGTGTATTATTCGAACAATCATCATTCATTGATTTAATTATTGCCGTCATTTCAGCTGTATAGTTACTCTCTATTGAGTTTAAGGAGAATAAATATTTTCTGTCTCCCATCCCATGGGGGCCTTTAGAGCCGTCCGAATATATCACGTTGCTTACTCTTGATAGTTAAGAATTCTTGTTTATATGTATAGCTAGGAGTGTCATTGTTATTATGCATATTCACAGACAAGATTACTTTTGGTTTTGGTAATAGCCAGGGAGGTATGACTGAACAAGTTCTTTTTACAATGGTGGTATCATGAACTGTACATCCAGTAACATTAGCGATATTCTAGAAGAGAAAGGAGTCGGCTTGATAGTATGTTGACTATTATGTGGAGGGTTACCTCCACTAAAAAGTTAGTTAAGTGGGTGTGCAGGACAGGAAATAATTTTCGAAAAATATTTTACATCTAACAAGTTTCGTAGGGGACCGCGGTAGCCGAGTGGTTAGCATGAGAGACTCTCACGCCGCGGTCGTGGGTTCGATTCCCACCGGCGCCTCTGACCCTTTTTTCACGATAACCCCCCCCCCCAATTTGAACACACATATAAGAATTGTCACCATGGCTAATATGCATAGTTCATAACGCCACAAAAAAAAAAAAAAAAAAAAGTTTCGTCGGAATTTTAAAGGAAGCTCTCCAACATCCACATGGAGTTTGTTAATGGAACTGGACCGGAAGGCTCCCGTAATTTCTAAGTCAGGTGTTTTGTATAGGGTCAAGCATTTTCCCCATAGTCAAGACGCGATCGCACAAAAGTTCTGTATAAACACGCAAGCCTCTTGCGATCAGCACCCCATGAACATGAGCGTACGGTCTTCATGACATTCAGTGCTTGGGTCCACTTGGATTTCAAAGTTTTGAAGTGAGCAGTCCAATTTAGATTCTTATCAAAGATAACTCCAAGATAGGGGACTCGAATACGAGTTTGATTGGGTTATTTGTAATATACAAAACTGGACAACTACAAGATCGTCTTTTAGATAATAGAATTCCTGCTGACTTTTCAATGGAGACAGTAAAGCCAGTTTTGGATAGCCACTGATGAACATCATTTAGACTAGTTTGCATATCTTCTTGTAACGTTGTTATATTTTTTCCCTGACTACAATACAAGCTCATCTGCATACAGCATTGTTCTGCACGGCGATCGTGTATGCGTAAGTACCTCATTAAAGGTTAAACAGAAAAGTGTAGCACTAAGCACACTGCCCTGTGGTACTCCATTTTCCTGGGCAAAACTCCCTGAGTAAGGGGAGCCACATCTCACACGAAAACTTCTTCTGTATTCAAACGCGTTTTGTATATCTAAAAATACCGCTAATAATTTATTTTTGTTTTGGAGTGAGTAGCTTATTCTAGATATACAAGATTATCCCTTGCACTCCTGTTTCTCTTGAAGCCGGTTTGCCATTCAGGTCGCAGCCCTCAGGTCTCTAGGCACCAGTGTAGTCTGTTCGTAATCATCTTTTCAGCTAGTTTACACATTTTTTTAAATTCATTTTATTTATTAAAACTGGTCTTATTAGACCAAACATTAATTTTACAATAATATTATAGAATAAATAAATGTTTACATCCTTATAAACCCATTCGTGCAATAAGATTTACATTTCACTATTCACTATTCATTTTCAACTACACAAGTTCATATGGCTTTGTTCTTTTTAATCTTCTGATCATGTTTCGGTTATGTAAGAGTTTCGTCGCTTCCACATTCTCGTGCTGGCTGAGGCGAGCCTGGTGTTTGGCGGCAAATCTTTGAATTTCCGCCGTGACTTCAGAGATCTTAAGATCCCTATGTAAGTCCTTATTCCTTATGTACCAACGTGCATTGACCATGTCACGTAAGATTTTATTTTGAAGTGTTTGTATGCTTTTGATATTGCTGTGTTTGGTACAACCCCATAGTAGAATACCATATGTCCACATAGGCTTTATGACTTGTTTATGTAATAATATTTTATTTTGTATAGCAAGGTTGGAGCCACGTCCTATCAACCAGTATGGTTGTCTATGCCTTAAACCTATTTCTGCCTTTTTTTTTCTTCACGTGTTCTTTCCATTTCAACTTGGCATCTAAGGTCATTCTCAGATATTTACCTGTATCGCTGTATGGTATAGTAGTTCGATTGAGAGCAACGGAACATTGTCCAATTTTTTGTTTGTAAAGATTAGATGAACTGACTTATGCTGATTTAGCTTGATTTTCCTTTTTTTGTCCATTCGTTTATCTTATTACATGCATTTTGGAGGATTTTGGTTGAAGGGTGATAGTCGGTCCTAGTGATATCACCGCTGGGTCATCTGCAAACGTTGCAATTTTTACTCCATCTATTTTCGCAAAATCACTGGTGTATCACAAGTAAAGCAGTGGTCCTTGTGGCACTCCTGCATGTATTGTTTTTAATTTTGAATATTGATCTTCTTGTTTGGTTCTAAGCAGTCTGTCATTTAGGTAGGAACTGATAATATCGACGTACTGCATTGGTAGCATCCATTTTAGTTTACTGATGAGTCCTCCGTACCAGACCTTGTCAAAAGCTTGTGAGACATCAAGGAAGATAGCAGAACAAATTTGTTTTTCTTCAAGAGATTGTTCTATCATGTCCGTTACTAGGTGAATTTGGTCTATTCTTTTTTTTTTTTTTTTGACTGGGGCTTCCGACATCTAGGTCATTTCAGCCCCCAACTAAGTCTATATTCTATTTACCCTTTCAAATACTACATAGATACAAATAAATACATTCATACACATAAATACATCCATACAGTACACTCATTCCGTTTGGTCGCTGGAGTACTTGATATTGACTCCACCGACCTAAATTTGGTCTATTGTTGAATGTCTTGTTCGGAATCCAAATTAGTTGTTAGGAATGATTTTCTTTTTTTTTTCTACAATGGGTTTTATTCGTTTTAATAATAACTTTTCGAAGAGTTAAGACACTGTCGGTAGTAGCGATATTGGTCTATATGATTTGACCTCGTTCGCCGGTTTTCCTGTTTTTTTTTTTAAATCATAATTTCCGATGGTGGGAACATATTTTAGTCTGAATGCAGCATTAATTAGGTATGTTAGTTTAACTATACCCTTTTTTGGCAATTGTTTTAGTATTTCTTCAGTGATAAGGTCATATCCTAGAGTCTTTTTATCAGGTAAATTTTTAATTTCTTGTGCTACTTCTTTAGGTGAAACTAGCTTTATATTTTCTTCTTGTGGCGTGGTTGTTACTTCCAGTAAGCTGCCATTGATGTTTTCATTTGGTTTGAAGATTGCAGCAAGGTAACTAGCAAACAATTCGGCTTTTTCTCTACTGTCTCTCGCCCATGTACCATCCTCTTTTTTTAATAGAAGAATTTGCCCGATTGGACTTTTAATTTTTTTATGGCCTTCCGCAGCGAGTAGTGGCTTCGCCTGGCATTAGATATTCTAGATAATTTCTGGTTGAGTCGTCATGCAGTATTTTTAGCTTCCATTTAAGTTTTTGAGCCATATTGTTAAGGATGAACCACTTAGGAAAGGGCTTAGCGGTGATATGACCAAATGGTACCTGAGAGCAATAAGATCGGGAAAAAACTCGAGGAAGCATGGAAGATGGCCCACGACAGGAAGGCCAATATCTAAAAAGAGAAACCGGAGACACATCCAACCAGCAAGATGGCTAGAGAACAATCTCTAACCCCCAAAGAACTAAGACGAGAGAAGAAGGCAAAGCCATCCACACAGCACAGGGCCAGAGAATTTGCTCCAAACGTCAGCTATTGCTGGAAAAGCAAAAACTATAAGGGTGGCTTTGCTACCAGAGGAATACCCACTGGTAACACTATCCTCAGAAAAGCTAACCCATCTAGAGGAAACCCTCTCGATGAGATCGCAAAAGGATGGGAAGCCAAAAAACAGTTTGAAGGCATACACTTCAGGCCAGATTTGATGATCCTATACTGTCAAGATGGCAAAACTGTAGAATGGCTACAGGAGATAACCCCCAAATTGGAGGTTAACGAAGAAAAGAAGCTGGTAGTGAGGGTAGGGGAGGCTGTTGTATACGGCATATCTTTTAAGGTCCAATATCACATGGATATTTACAGTATGATATTTCAGATGTACAGTTTACTTTACTAGTAATGAAAAATGTTAAATATTTTTAAATGAACTAGTGGTAATAATTAAATAATTATCAAAAATGGAATAATGGTGATGTTTTTTTTTCAAAAAGAATTCTCTATATTTAATTTGTATTTCAATGTAGTCTGTTCTTCTGTTTTACTGTATAATTTATACATTATTAAATAATTTGATGGTTTGAGAGAGAGGATTTACAAATAATTTTTGTTTTAGATATTTTTATTAGCGGTATATCTTTATTTACATTTTTACATTTTTGAACTAAAAGAAAAGGCAAATTTTATATAAAATATGAGAAAGGTTATTTGACAAATCAGATAGATTTATATTTAAAGACGCCTTCCGAATGTGGAATTTCGTTGAAAGAAACACAGATGCTGGAGCGTACTCTTTTGCGTTATTTCAAATGGCGTTCAATATAATTCTCAGTTGTTAATCCTAGTTTTCTAGTTGCGAAATTCAATCTGTTTCTATAAATGTCCTATAATATGAAAATATTAATTAACCGAAATTGTAATTGCTGTTTCTTCTCTCACTTTTTTCAAACGTAAAAATGTAAAAAGCGTTTTAAAAATTCACCTCAGCCACATGGATGCATACTACTGTTACAGTAATTCCTCCTATAATGTACAGAATGAAAACTATCATGAATACGTTACTCTGAAAAAAAAATCGAGTAAATTATATCAATTTTTCCCAGTATAGTTTAAATGATAAATCAGTTTGTCGTACCCCCGGAACGAAGGCTCCAAACCCGATTGTTGTTAAAGATTCGAAAGTGAAACAGAAAGCTGTTAGGAAGTCGGGAATATCGAATATTATGATAATTACCGTCCCGATCAATATATATATTACTTCTAGGTTGAAGACAAGCCATAACGGCAAATTTGGGTGTTCTTCTTCACTAAAATCGATGAATAGCGTTCCCAAGGTGGCTCTTGATTTTGATCGATTTCCTCCATATTCGCCTTTAGGTAAAAAACAACTGTAGAGAAAAAAACAAACAAATTATAACAACTAAGTTTCCAATTACAATTTTTAAATGTGTGCTAAATAATAACCGTGAAAATGTAAAAAATTCTGCAAATGAATTAGCACATTATTTTGTGTTGTTTGTAGACTGTTCGTTAGTTTATTTATTGATCAGTTAATCCTATTTTAAGTTTTGTTTTGATTTTTTAATAAATTCGAATTGTCGTACTTTTTTAAACGTATGTTTAAAGAAATTAATCGAATTGTTAGAATCGTAGTTAGAATATCAGTTTTGTTTCTACAACTTATCGGCCTTGGCGAGCCCACATCGCTAATCTAAAGGTGGTTCTAGACATGCGGTATTCTCCGAATGCCGCGCAAATTTTAGCCGAATCCCGATCAGTCTGAATGGACGCTCGGCTATTCGCCAAAGAACATCAGGTGCCGCCGTGTTCAGCTTTTTGTCGGCTTTCTTGTCCGCTTCAAAGGGCGCGAATATTCCTGAAACAACCGCACTCAAACCATCCACCCATTCGGGAATCAACTATAACTGTACTTATAGAAAATAAAATTAAGGGAAAGGATATTAGAATTTTTTCTGACAGTCAGGCAAGCCTTAGGTCATTACAAAAAGATTTGTTAACCTCAGGACTGGTGGAGGAAACCGTAGATCTTATGAATAGGATCTCTTCCAGGTTTGAGAACAAGGTATCCCATGTTTGGACACCAGCACATAAACGACACCATGGTAATGAAAAGGCGGATAGCCTGGCCAAAGAAGGGTCTAAAACTGCGTTTGTCGGGCCACAAACGGTATTACATCACTCTATGAGCACAGCGAAAGAGAGTATTAATAACTAGGGCATGAAACAATTCCTTAGGGGGTGGAATTTTTCCCCTGGACACAGGCAATCGAAAGAGTTTGTTATGCTGATCAAACCAGCAGAATCTAAATGACTATTCTCTATCTCAAGAAAGGGAATTAAGAGGCTGATAGGTATTCTGACGGGCCACTGCCCATTGAGAAAACACCTCTGCGTAATGGGTATTCTACCAGATCCCTTTTGACGATTTTGCGGAATAAAAGAAGAAACAGCAAGGCACTACCTTGCTGAGTGTGATAGGTTTGCTAGATCCAGATTTGAAATCTTTGAAAGGGCGGACATCACCAAATCACTCCCCGAGATAAAATGGTCCAAAATCTTGGGGTTTGTGAACAAGTCTAAGAGATTTATGCAGGACACATGAGCCGACCAAGTCCCGGACCTTTTAGGCATAAGGTACGAGTCTAACCAGGCATTTAAACCCTCGATGTTTACGAAACAGAACCAATAATTTGGAAAGCTTCTTTTACAAATCATAAATTGTTTTATAATTAACGCAATAATTAAAAATATAAAAAATATAATTAAATATATTAGTTGTACAAAATAGTAACCGTAATGACAGTTTCACTGTTGTCCATCACGATTTGTAGTAAGTTGAGGACTCCCACGGCATTTGGAAAATACGTGTTCCCTGTTTCCGCAGCAACTAGGAGGTTATACAAAACCCGCATGTGTGGCACGCTATTTCGCGAATGCCAAGACGAGCATCGAGAGGCTTGTCAAATATTCGGCGGCAATCGGCATTGGGCAAATACCGCATGTCTGGAATCGCCTTAATGAATGTATTTATTAGCGAGAAGTTAGTTAATTAGTTTTGTTTCTACAATTTATCGGCCTTGGCGAGCCCAGATCGCTAATCTAATACCTAGGGGCTACAAACATGGCGATAAAACGATGTATGTTACTTAATGTAATGAATGTATTTATTAGCGAGAATTGAAATGTCGGACCCATGGATCCCAGAGGACACGAATGAATGAGACATGTGTCGACGGTATTTATGAAAAAGGTTAATTTATTAGTATGGAAGGAGAGACTCAAAAAAATGTTGAGTTCTTTGTGATTGTGCGAGTGATGTCCCGCGTATGAATGCAATTGATTAGTGTGAAGGTTTTTTTCACCAATTACCTCAAAAAATATCCAATACTCTTAGGTAGTATAAATTCTAACTAGACTACTATGTTTTTAATTGTATCGTATATATTTTTACTACATGAATAAAATATTTTCTATTGATCATATCTATTGTTTATCCTAGACTGTCGATTCCCTGAGATAAGAAAAAGCTGACAATAGGATTGTAAAACGAGAAAATCGATTACCGTAGCATGCAAAGGTTAATTAACTATTAGGAAAAAAATGTAAGAAGAAAACGAGAAGAACAGCAAAAAATGAGAGGAGGGCTGACGATGGTCAATATAGTTTGCCCAAAAACTATATGTATAACGAACAATCCTCGACTCCTTAAACAACAGTAATTCATGGCTTAGTCTCTCATCGTTGTAGGTCCAAAAGGAAGAATGTAGTTTTTATCTTTTATAATTAAATCATATATATAGTTTTAAATAAAGTTTTATAATACGATTGTTTGTTAAAGCCCTATACAGTGCTTCGTATACAATTTAATACCATAAATGTTAATATCATAATTTAATTCATTTCGGAATGATATCTGTATAAAAAGTAAAAAAAACATCCTCGTGGAAATTGTATTTTCATATTTACTGTACAAAATAAAAATGAATTTCATTTATTCAAATTATCAATTGTTTTGTATAATTTGTTTCGGAACGAAATCGTCCAAATTTTCAAGTATGAACATGTTTTTGCTTCAAGTTCATTAAAAAACAATACGAAAGGGTTTCAATACAAGTATTTTGTTTTTGTGTTCAACTTAGCTTTGTATACAGGTTTTTAAAATCCGAATGTAAATTAATAAAATCAGTACCCTCTACTGCACATTCTGATTTTGTGCAGCAACTTCCTTAATTGAGTGATTATGGTTTTACCGAGGGTGGCCATTAATATTAAAAATAGCGGTATTCCGATCACAGCGTATACGACTGATAACATTTTACCAATTGAAGTAACTGGCCTTATGTTTCCGTAACCTATCAATTAATTATTTTAAATTAGATATTTTTGATATTGATTTAAAAGGAAAAAATTCTGAATTTACCAATGGTCAAGCATGTCGTAGCACTGAAAACAATACTTCCTAAAAAGTTCCAAGCCATTTCCTCCACTTGAAAAGTCGCTTTATCGTCATATTGGTTCATAATATCTTGTACAAAGTCAAAATAATCGAACAACAAATTCTTAGTTTTATTTAAGATTAGTTGATTTTCGATTAAAACATTATTGACTACTTGTGTTATCTGAAATAAAAATATAGTTTACTTAATAATCAAAATAAAATTTACAAAAATGTACATTTAGTTATTAAATCACGTTGGAAATTTTTTGGTAAAAACGGTATTATTAAAACAAAAGTTTTTAGAAATCATTAAGTTTTTACCTCTTGTAGTTTTCCGTATAGTTCACCACGCCTTTTTTCCACCTTGTAGAATAAAGGAAGTTCATACAACAACCCTTCTATTATATAAAATATAATCGCTCCAATGAGTGTGTACAAGAAAATAATAATAATAAGCAAACACTGGTGCCACCATTTTTGGGTAACTTTACTAATAAAAACATGGCTAAAAAAAACTGCAGTTTCTTGCTTACCTAAACGATGATCTGCAAGAAATAAAAACATTAAATAAGCGATTTTATCGATTTATATATCTTTTTAACATGTTTCAGTTTATACTGTTCTGTTCAGTGTTCTCTGGTAGTAGTGTAAAAAATAATTTTTAGTAAGTAAAGGTTCTTTACTTATTTCTTAATTTCAGATATTTTTGAAAACGCAAAACATTTTAAACATTCATTATGTCCTTATGGCATTAAAATTACTGCACTGAGCAGAAGTAAATTATTTTACTAAAGGAGAGATTTGTATAACAATTCATATTTTATAAAATTAACATCTCTTTTTATCTCTTTACATCATCGCCAACAATTAACCAAGTAATAAATGATATCAGTTTATTTGATCCTCATTATTGCGTACAAAGATTTAGACAAAAATTGTATCTCCAAAAATAATTGTACAAATCAAGTGTCATACTCATTGTGTGAAAAATTATTTTAACGAGGATATGATTTTGAACTGGATAAACAATATTTTCGCGACGTCAGTTTCGCGGTACCAGAAGTGCACATATGCTGGGATAGGATCAGTTGGAAGGGTTTGCTGGGATAGGTTTGGTAGAGTAGGAGTAAGATAAGGATTAGGCACGGGGTTAGGGATTTGTTAGGACATATATCCAGATTCAATTTTTTCGAATGGAAAGCGTGTTGGCTTGGCCACCAGCTGGACATTCGATTTTTTTTTACAGTTGCTTCTTACAACAGAATTCAGCTAAACGCTGGTTTACCTAAATTTTCCATCGTTGTCGATATTTCTTTGGGCCTGCAGGCATTTTATAGTTGTTCAAGACGCAATTTATGTCGCTTACACTTGTTTTAAAAAGATGGTTAACAATACGTGGCAAGAAAGGTACAATGCACTTGCGAAACCTGCGTTTATCCGGGACAATTCGTCATAATTGCTCTTTAATAATAAAAATTGAACCAATTATCTTTCATTCCATATTAACGGAACGTCATTAGAAAAGTCCAATTTTTAATGCTGAAATACTTACGCTTAATAGCATGCTTTATAACTGGAGTAGACAGTGTTTTCTCCCTTTTACTAGTATAGGGTTTCCAATTGTGGTTTTTTTCTATATATGAAAACAAAGCATTCTTCTTTGCAATTGCTTCATCCGACTTAGGTATCTTCTTTTTTGTCGGCTTTGTATAATCTTTGATTTGGAGCAATTTCCTTTTGGCATGCCAATCAATAAAGTCTTTGGGAGATTCACCGCCGTGAATCTTGTGCAGAATAATTCGCCTCCTAAGAGAATTGTTCTCGGTTCTCAACTCTTCAGCGTTCCTACTCAGTTCTTCACACTGGTCAGTCATTTTTGACATAGAGGTATCAATCATAGACAGAATAGTTCTCAACTCAAACAGAATATCTATTTTTTTCTGTATATTCACTCTGTCTTCTTTCGTTCTTGTATGATCTCCTTGAGGTACGTTAATAATACATTTGCTACAGTACCAGTTCTTAGTATGAAGTACTAAATTCTGTAACATTTTGAGATTGTGTGTCGGATCTATACACGTGCCATGATAGTACTTTTCACATTTGGAGCAAACAATTCCGGGATCCATTATATCGATTATTTTTTTGCACTTAGTGCAGCGTCCTTTCACAGCTATCATTTTCTTTAATGATTTCCTTTGTCTTGGGGCTTTAACTAAGCTTATTTTAAAACACTGTTCTACACATTAGTTAAAACTAACTTTGCTATTAGATGAATATTATTACAAACTACAATGTCATTAATCAGGTGACATAAAATGAGCACAAAAAGAACAAAAGCATATGTTTCACTTTTTGTAAAGTTAGGTTCTACTCACAGATTTGTTGTTAGCTACGATCCGGATTTCAAGCATTAAACGCTCATCGTCAGGTTGAAGAATTACTTTGTAATTAATGCTAATGTTGCTAACATCAGATCTGTGAGCAGAACCCTCCTTTACAAAAACGACATACTAACCCCATCCCTATTTCTATTTCTATAAAGCGTATGTTTTGTGCAAACCACTGTAATGATCTTGATGCAGTCTCTCAAATCTGTCAAAGGCCATAAAAAGAACGTTTATGTATTTTTTTGCCCCATCTTTCACTGCCGAATATGCCCGGCCTTCATATCGCATTTCAACCATTATTATTTAAACAATCTTCGTAAATACCCAACCAACTTGTTTTTAATGTCATGTTTTTTTTTTAAGTTTAATTTTTGAAAATGTATCAAAACTTGGTAGGTATTATTTGACAAAAATGTTGTTACTCAATTACATATTATTGTATCATTAAAAATTTAACTTGTTTTAGATCCTTGGGACAACTTTGAGGGCGTTACTATTTCATCTTTTTTTTTCTATAACTCTTCATTAAAAAAATAAAAGGTGTCATATTATATGGCAACATCCGGTATAGACTACAGGTTAGATGCTGTAGTGAAATTTAACCTTAAAATTTATTTAATCAAATAAATTACAGAAACAATGATAAAAACAAGTCCATAAGGGAGATTTTAGAATAAAGTATTTTTCGAGTTCGCTCACTCCTTCAACTTCCGACTTCGTCCTTATGCCGTACTTGTCAAGGTAAGGTGTATCAGAAAAATCCTCTCCTCGTCCTCCATCATAAACATAAAGATCCTTAGAAGAACTTAGTATTTTGAAAAAATGAAAAAATGTATTCAACTTTATATCAAATTTGGTTTACACTATGTTGGAATAGTATTGTATTAACGTTTAACGTTTCACAAATTGTACTAAAAAATTCATGAAACTTTGGAAAAATATTTGTCAGATAATGTTTTTCAGAAAATGCTGTCTACTATCAATCAGCATTAAAAGCCTACTTTAAGAATCGCCTTATTGAATGTATTATTTACTTGCTGAAAGGTCACTGTTTCTTCAATTATTCATATTCGTTATATAAATGAAAACAAGGTTCCAAGGAATATCACAAACTATGTAACAAGGAAGTTGGTTCCATGTAGCTTCATTCCGCCATCCCCATACAAATATCTCTCTCTCTCTCTCTCTCTTTCTCTCTCTCTTTCTCTCTCTCTCTCTCTCTCTCTCTCTCTCTCTCTTTCTATTTATATATATGTATATTTGTTATAGTATGTATAATTAATAATTTTCATATATTTCCTATTGTTCTGGTAAAAATGTAACGTGTTGTTAGATGGATTTTTAATTTATACTCTCTCAGTGTATGAAGGCATGGCATATTAACGAGTCCCATTGAAAAATTTAAAATATTTAAATACGGTATTCATTTTTTTATATTTTAAAATCACTTAAATCACTTATACATAAAGCACGCATATAAATTATTATATTTCATAAAATACAAAATCCTTTTACAGGAAGAGCCTTTTTTAATGTGGCCAATTTGTAAATGAACCATTTGAATCCTTGTCTAAGCGTCATAGTCTTCCGTGTAAACACCAGTCTCCATTTCATCCACTTTCTTTCCCAATTTGTGAAATCCAGAAGATAATTTTTCTTTCAACACATACTTAAAAATATGAAATTACAAAAACAAATTAATTATACCATTATTTAGTTCTATTTCCGATTATGTTAACTGAAAAATAAAAATTAATGTATTATATGTTTCTAGTGTAATTAAATTTTAATACAGCTGAAATAACCCAGGTGTTTCGTACAAGATGAAAGAGAAAAAAGTTTTTATGTGACAGAATTATTCTACAGTTTAAATTAAAGATAAAACACCAAGTGGAGAAGAACATAAGAATTTTTAACTGGTTTTACGAAGAATTCAGCCCTAATATTTACCATAATGGCATTAATGGCGGTAGACGCCATTGTGAGTCCCACTACAATGTAAACAACGGACGCTATCATAAATGCTCTATTCTGTAAATAAAGAAGAAAATTCAAAAACACTTTAGCAAACGAAGAATCATGAAGGAGTCGTATTACATTAGGTACAGTATCACCAAACCCAAGCGTACTCAGTGTTATGAATATGAAATACAAAGCTGGCATGAATTGCAAATTTTCACCAAACATGAACAGCACAGCGCCTACCAAAAAAGTAACAATCAATGTCACGATGAAATATAAAAGAACGCCACAGCCCTGGTCAACTATGGCTTTTGTTTCATCATCATAGTCTTCGACGTCATTTAACCGTTTGCTGAAGAAAAAAATATGTTAATTGGACAATTAATCAAAATATTCCAGATCTCTTACTTACACAATTCTACTATCTTTACAGCACATTTTCAAGCAACACCTAGTCATCAGTGAAATATCAAATAAAATGCCTTTGCACACATAACTTCCAAGTGATGCAAGTAGCATTAAAAACATCGGGATACCGAAGAAAGCGTAGATTATGGTGAATACTTTACCTACAGATGTCATCGGTGTAATATCACCATATCCTACAATAAAAACCAATGATTATCTTATATGAGAAATAAATTCAGGCTCTAAGCTCACCTACACTCGTGTACGTCATACCGCAGAAGTAAATCGAATCGATATAATCCCAGGCCAGCTCTTCGTCGCCTCTAGTGAGAACTTTGCTGTGGTTGCCAAATATTTCAGAAAGAAAATCGAAATAGTGCCGAACCTCGTCCACGGTTTGATTTCCATCCTTGATATAAATAAAGTCGTAATCATATAAATTGAATATTATCTTAAACTATTTTAGGGACAAAATACCCGTATCAAGCGATTTCTCTCGTTTACAATTTGGTCTCTTAAGTCACTTTCATATGCTCCTTCCACATATGTGTAAACGAGGGCGCCCAGGAGCGTGTAGATTACAATAACAGCTATAAGGAACACGTTAGCTAGCCGACTTTTCGAAATATTATTAATGGTTTGATAAATTTGAAAACTAATAGAACTATCTGGAGCTTTATGCTTGAATAATTTTTCTGAAACATACCATCATTAATTATGAGATGTTACCTCTTTATTCACTATAAAATGGACACTATTATCACTAACGGTTTAGTAAGCTTAACAATACTATGAACGAACTATCAGGTAATTTCTGTTTAATATTGTGGTATTTCAAAACTAATGAGGGCATCCTCAGTGTGCCAAAATGAAAAATTCTATAAAACAACATTACAAAAGAAACATTTTTTCTGAGAAATATAATTTAAAAAATATATATTTCTAAAAATGTTTTATCAAAGAACATTTTTGGTTTTGTTTATTGGTAAATAGCAACAACCACAACCACTTTTGGAATCACATATTTTTATTATTACTTCAATTCTACAATTTCTCTCTAATTATGAACTATTATTGTATTTCTATTATCTCATTTAATCATTCATTTATAATGTCAGGTAATTGTTAGTTGATTTAAATAATTATTTACAGAATTTGAGGGAGAAATAAAATCTAAAATAATAAGAGTGTAATCTTTTAAAATATTGAATTCGATATGTTAATTGTATTTTACGTCGTTCAATTAATTTAAATTTATAATTAAGTTGGTAATTAATATAAATATGTAGTAATAATTATAATTATCATAATTTACATACAATTATATATGTTAACGAGCAAGTGGACTGTATTATTTGTAAACACAAATTACGAACAATTAAAAATAAAAGGGAAATAAAATAAAGAAAACTCACCTTCCAGCCGACTCCTCGAAGCTCCACGATGATTCAAAGTGTGAAAGACAAGGGGGAGGACGGTGAAGGAAAAACCAAAGCTGCAAGGAGCCAGATATGGCTTAGGAGCGGCACTGAAGGCACAGACGGTGAAGGAAAAACCGGATCTGGATGCCCTTTACCTCGTTTTCTCGAACAGCCGCTGCCAACAGGTGATCTGGCTATGACAATTGCGAGAAATAAAATAAAAGAAGGCCAAATAGAAATTTCGAACGCCAACGATGTGAACTATTCGAACGACAACAACGAACTGAGCCGGGCGGAGAGGACCGGGCGTAAACATTGTTGGGCCACGAGCTCAAATTCCGGCAAATGTCCGGCGTCAACAATATATTAAAAATTATGTGTTTTCAAACTGAGCGTCTAAAAACTGCCAAGGATGCACACCAATTTTACGGCGTAATTAAAACATAAGTAAAAGAAGTAAATATGCAATAAAGAAATTAGTATGGGAGAATTTAAAGAACGTTGTCATAAATTGTGCACAAATGAGTGTACCTATGACTCTTTATGACATTTAATTAACAGAACTAAAAATGGTCCTTCAAAATGCTAAAAACGGTAAATCACCTGGTATCAACAGTATTTAAAATACCTCCCCCCCCAAAAAAAAAACTTTTTAGAACAATTAATTCTAATTTTTAAGAAAAATATATGTTTCTGGAAATGTATCTAACAATTTTAAAAAATCTTTAATTTTTTCTTTATAAAAAGGCGACACAGGGCAGGTTTCAAACTGTAGGAGCATATCCTTTATAGATGTTGAGACTTTAAAGCTGTTTACCGGCTGTTTGTTGCTTATAAACAAATTAATGATATGGTTAGAAAAATACAAAGTACTTTGCCAAGCAGTATTTTGCCATCAGTTTTCGACTATAGACAATATTTTTAGTTTAATAAATTGGGTCTAGCTGAAATGGTATAAGGTTGGTTCGACTCGATCTCAAGTTATCTAAGACTATCAAATACATTAAAGAATTTATATGAAAGTGCACGAGCGGCACAAAGGGTGTGTCAGATTTTTTTAAATACAATAAACGGTGTCGAGCAAGGCTCGCTCTTGTCCCCGGTACTGTTCTTTTTGTACCGAAATGACAAAATAGAGGAAATTGGAGGAGGTGTAAGTGAAGGGGATATAAAAAATGCGTTGATATTGTACTAGTTGCGGATAACCCTGTTACATTGCAATTAATGATTAATTCACGAGGAGAATAATCATTTGCAATAAAACGGGAGGTGAGTTAAAAAATGCTTCTTGGAAGGCAAGGAAATAAAAGTAATAAAAATCTATAAATATTTAGGTGTACACTTGACTCTATCATTAAATTTTGATGCTGATTTTCGTGACAAAATAAGTAAAACAAAGTCCAAAATTAACTACTTGGAAAAATGTTTTATTAAATTCAAAAATACATATGAACTCCAAACTTATAGTGTTTGTTATGAAGCCCAAGTTTGGGGCATCCAAAACTGGCCAAGTTGAGAAACTACCGAGATTTTTTGTAAAAAGGCTGCTCAGCCTTCCTTACCATAGTCCTAATTATATTCTAAATTTAGAAATATGAATGAATAGCATGTATTCATATACTTTAGGACTGCATTTAAAATACATATCAAGAACTTTAAAACTGCCTGATTATAGACTCCCAAAAATTATATGTAAACAAATAATAACTAAAAATATTCTTTGGTTTAACACATACAAGAAATTATGTAATCAGTACAATATTAGCAAAGAAGTAAACGACAATTTAGAAACTTGGGAAGAAATTTTAAGTAAATTAATTTTCAATATAAGTTTAGAAGAAAATCACAATGCAGAAATAAAAGTTAGAAATGAGATTTTTCATGGAATGTACCCCAAACTAAATTATAATGCCACTTATTTACACTCTAGATCGTTTACTGAAATTGAACTAATAATAAAAGCAAGGAGTTAACAGCTTGACTAAAATTTTAGACCTTTTAGACCCGATTTGTGCTATCTTTGTTCATTGTGTAACTTAAAAGAAATTGAATATACAAAGCGTATGGTTGCAATCTGCTCTATTTTAAAGTCATATAAAATAAAATACTTTAAGAATGATAACAGATTCTGAACTTTGTAATTATCTAAACGGTAGAGATTGGGGTTTACAATGTAATTATTTAAAATATTCCCTATATTATAGAAATATACTTGTCAGAAAATTTACTTATTAGTAGGAATTAATTTTATTATTTTTTTCTCTGTGCTTTCTTTCTTTTTCTTATTTATTGTAGTAACTAAAAATTGTATTGCAACTCTGCTGATGGATTAGTATGCAAGCAAAAAAAATGTTTTCTCTTAAATATTTTGTTTTTTGTAAATATCTTTATTAATAAACATTATTATTATTGAAAAATCGCAAAAAGGAGGGAAAATTCAAAATGTGGGGTTGAGGTGGGAAGTTAGTGCCTGAGGGGATCGAAGTCACGATAGCCCAAGTAGTAGAGTAGCGGCGTATCAAGCCGAAGGTCGTGGGTTCGAATCCCGCTCATGACACTGACTTTTTTATCTCAACTTAAAATCTTAATTAATTGAATATTATTATTATTGTATGGTGATTAGTGACCGTTAATAGATAATTATTCAGAAATTGTGAGATGCGATCTGGTGTGATATAGGTTTCAGAAAAACATTTTCTTTATCGTGCCAACGTTTCGATCTTTATTGAGATCATCTTCAGGGGCTGGAAGTAGAAATACTTTGTTTGAATATAAACAAATATATTTGCATTGTATAAATTCACCCCCCAGAGGGCACTCTCAACACGACACGCAAGAATGGCACAATTACACAGAAGACAAACACTTTGAGCCCTGAAGATGATCTCAATAAATATCGAAACGTTGACACGATATAGAAAATGTTTTTCTGAAACCTACATCACACCAGACCGCATCTCACGATTTCTGAATAATAATAATTATTATTATTAATAATATATGTTTTGAGATTCTATGTCTGAATGCGGGTATTTGATGGTATGAGTGGTGAGAAGCTGATGGTGAAATATAGCGTCACCATCAGTGTGTGTGTGTGTGTGTGTGTGTGTGTGTGTGTGTGTGTGTGTGTGTGTGTGCGTGCGTGCGTGCGTGCGTGCGTGTGTGCTTTATTATATTTATGAAATATATATTTATGAAATTATTCCATCAACCATAATTTAGATTATCTTATTACTCTGTGTAGATCGATGGAGGATTATCGAGTTTTTCACCGATGAACAAAATGAGTGCAATGTACATAGGTGTGAATATATTTATTTCTGCGATTGTATTGGGTTGTCCGGAAAATAATGCAGGATTTTGGTATTAAACAAAAAAAAAGAAACTAGTTACTTTAAAGCAATGTTCTTTAATCAAAATAATTTCCCATACTCTCAATACATTTCTCCCAACGTGTTGGTAACTTATTAATTCCGTCTGAGTAGAATTCAGAATTTTTAGAATTGATAAAGTCAATAAATGCATTTTCCAGTTCCGTTTGATTTTTGAATATTATGTGTTGTAAGTAGTGGTCCAGGTGTCTAAAAAAATGGTAGTCAGTAGGCGAGAGGTCCGGAGAGTAGGGTGGGTGAGGCAAAGTTTCATAGCCAAGCTCCAATAATTTTTGTGACGTTACACGTGACACATGTGGTCGAGCGTTGTCATGCAACAAAATGGGCCCTTTCCGATTGACCAAAGAGGGCTTCATTACTGCCAATTTCTGATGCATGGTATTAATTTGGTTACAGTATGATTCAGCATTGATGGTTTCGCCAGGATTTAAGAAGCTGTAGTGTATTAAACCAAATGAAGCCCACCATACCGTAACCATTACCTTTTTTTGATGAGTTGGGGGCTTTGGAAAATGTATTGGAGCTTCTCCTTTGTCGAGCCACTGTCCAGAACGTCTAGTGTTATCGTAGAGAATCCACTTTTCGCCACATGTAACAATTCTGGCCAGAAATGGGTCATTTTTGTTTCGACAAAGAAGTGATGCACAAACATCAAAGCGCTGATTTTTTTGGCGATCGTTTAATGAGTGTGGAACCCAATTTTCGAGTTTTTTCACTTTTCCAATCGCCTTGAGGTGGTCAGCGACGGTCGTTTTACTGACTTTGAGTTGCTCTGCACCCACCACTGATCGCAGAACATCATCATTCAGAGAGGAAGGCCTTCCACGACCTTCTTCATCTTCAAGGCTGAAATCTCCCTCCCGAAATTTTTTAAACCACCTTTGCACAGTGCACTCATTAACACAACCCTCGCCCCAGACTTGGTTAATGTTTCTAGCCGTTTGGGCTCCGCTTCGGCCGAGTTTAAACTCGTAAAAGAAAATCGTACGAAATTCTCGCTTTGACATTATAAGGATGACTGAATTATTTCCAAGTAGCGGAATGCTACAGAGGTAAACAAACAATATACAAATGAGTAATCCTGTAAACGTAAACAGAATATTTTATATAGATTTTTTTTAATGAAAACTTAAAATCCTGCATTATTTTCCGGACAACCCAATATTATAGATGTTAGTTTTAGGCTAGTTGGCTAGATTTTTGCATAGGTTGGGGGCTGAAATAGCGTAGCTGTAAAAAGCCCCTGGAGACTATCTCCGTTGGCTGGGAAAATATAACGAACAATATAATAAGCATTACTGTAATATGATTATTCGAAATTCGTGAGATGCGGTCTGGTGTGACGTAGGTTTCAGAAAAGCATTTTCTTTATCGTGTCAACGTTTCGATCTTTATTGAGATCATCTTCCGGGGCTGGGATTTACAAATATTGTTTAAATTTAACAAATACACATAGGATGTGGAAAAAAATGAATTTATACAATGCAAAAAAATATTTTTTTATATTCAATCAAAGTATTTCTAATTTAATTTAAATTCTAATTTAAAGGTATTTTGTGTTACTTACTAAATAAAATCAAATATAATTTGTTTTAAAACAGCAAATTGTCAATATTTGTTGTTTTTGATCAGTAACATCATTTCAAAATTATTTGCTTATAGTTGTACAACATACCTTTCTTCCTAGTGGAAGTATAAACAGCCTTATTTGCTTCCTTCTCTGACAACCCTTGCTGTTTTTTAATAAATGTCAGTAGTTCTTTCCTTTTAGAAGGACCATCCACATCTAATGGTAGCCAATATTTAATGGCTCTTTTTTCGCGTTTAGCCACGCCCAAAATTTTCCGTCGTTCTTTCCATTGTTTGAAATTTTTTGGTTTGTCTTTAAGAAATTTTTCGTGCAATAAGATTTGTTTTTTAAGTTCTTCATTTTCCATTGTGAGAGATATTGCCCTGTCATTCATTTGCTTACACCGTTGGCCCATCGAGCGAAGGGTGTCCTCGATTTTCATAATAAGATCACGAATTTGGTTTAATAGGTCCATCTTCTTCTCCACCACGATTCGATCCGCGTTACCCCTCGAAGTTATATCTTTGCTGTACCTGTTGTAGCATTTCTCGCAATACCATGATGAATAGGCAATTACGTACTTTTGTAAGGCACTCATATCTTGTGGCGGTTTACAGCAACTGCCGTGGACAAACTTTTCACAATTAAAACACACGAGTCCAGCACGAAAAATGGAAAGCTCTTCCTTACACAAGGTGCACACCCCTTTCACAGCCAACATATCGAAAGTTTTCCTGCGAAAAGTTTTTATAAATTACTACCTAAAATTTATATGCAGAGCAATTTTTGAGTGTAAAAACAGCTGTGATTAGAAGAAGCAATACAGCTTGCTCACACTTGTTTTTAATACAAAATAAAAATTGAACTTGAAGAAGTAGATTAATGAATAAAAATGAAAACTTGTAGAAATATAGTTATAGCATTGATATAAGGCCTTTAAAAAATTAGTTTTAACAGCTATGAAATAATCATTGAACTACTTTGATTAAAATAAAATAGAATAAACTAACTACGGTAAGAATTGTGGACTGAAAAACCTGCGGCCGTATTAAAGAGACAAACGATTTACCAAATATACAAATTTTTTTATCCTCCATTAATTTATATTTTATAATATTCGTAATGTGGTTGTTATCGATCATTTTAGTGTGCCTTCACTGAGTAGACCTGGTGGGATGGTTTGTCATCTGACACAGACCGACCCACCCAGGAATGCACTGTGATGTTTGTGTGAACGAGTGAGAGAGCCAATTGGGTACATATATGGGTGTGTGTGTATATATATATATATATATATTGCATCCGGATTCAAATGAGACTGAATAAACATTTTAAATTCCATAAAAATTAAACATTGAAAAATCCTTTATCCTTGTTTTGGATTAAGGTAAGTGTGTTTACCTCTAAATGATATTCCCAATTTAAAATATAGCATAAACAAATATTAATTGGTAAAAACAATGAGACAAATTAAGGGGAACATTTTTTTATCGAGAAAATGAAAAAAAATCAATTGGGCGGAATTTTTTGCCTGTCAGTGTATATACAAGGAGAACACCCCTTTCCATTAAAAATCGGAAGAGGGGGCTCAACAACCCACTCTCGGGCTGTCTTTAAATGGTGCCATGCCTACTCGCTCAAGGGGCCAAGGCATTCTGAACCAATTGTGACACTCTGAGTAACCATCCTCTACAAGTGGGATACCTACGGGGTCTGTGCCAAAAGCAGGTGTTGGTGTTTCAATCTGGTATGACCTAGCGTCAAACGGGTTAGCATGATCACTTCCTTGCGTTTCAGACCTTCACGCGAGAGTTTCTCGGACGATACGCATTGACGCTATCAACGTTCTTTTATTGCTTTACAGCTCGTAGGGTTTCACCGGGCCGGATCACGGTAGTTCTGTCAGTAGGGACGCCGCCTCGTCCGTATGTGTCTATGCAAGACGACTACCACCGTTTTTATGAGACGCTCCATATCAGCATATCTCTCTAATAGGAGCTCCAGTTGTTAAATAATGTGATATTCAAGTGGAAAATTCAATCAGCCTAAACAAGTCAAAATCAAACTTAAAAAAGTACTGTCCATTAGCTAATAAAAGATAACAAAAATAAACAACCAATCATAAATTGTAATTGAAGAAAAGTGTTATTGCATCAAAAATCCAATAGTATAACTAAGGCCTTATTAGTCAGTTGGAAAGTAAGCATTGTGTACTAGTTAAATATGAACTATTACTATAATTTTGTCTGCTGTTTGTTTTTATCTCAACGTTTTCCCAAGGTTCACCACCTGTGATGGTTGCAAAATTCCGGAATGTGTCGGACAGATCAAACCAGCGAGCATGGGCAGAAGATGATCATTATCGATCGAAGTAAATGATTTTTTTTTAATGATTCCAGCTTGAATGTATCGCTTGGTTGGTTCTCGCCACCATCAGTTTGTCTGTTGTATTTGAATATGTGGCTTGGTCATTTTCGATCATTTTGGGTGTCTTATTTCCCTGGGTCGGTGGCAGTTATGATGATTGCGAATTGCGGATATGGTATGGTATGGTGGAAGGGACGCTGGGAATCGGGGCTTGTATTCCCCAGGCACTGCAGCCTTCTGGCTTATTGTACCTTCCCAGTTCCCTAGTTTAGTCAATAGACTCAATCCTTCTTCTCAGAAGTATCAGGTCATTGACTGTTATTGCTGCAATTTGGTTCCCTGAGACTTTTTCGTACGTTAGGTTAAACCTCCATTGAGCTGTTGCTTCGCATTCGAAGACGATATGAGAGGCTGTTTTCTCCTCTTCATTACATAATCTGCAAATGGGATCATCATTGTATATACCCATGTTGTGTAGATGTTTTCTCAGATACCAGTGACCGGTTAGTAATCCCACCACTCCTCTGAGTTTTGCCCTCTCCAATTGTAGCAGTGTTTTTGCCAATTTTGGTGAGGGTTGTTTCATCATAAGTTTACTATGTCTACCACCGCTAGAGTTTATCCACTTCTCTCTTTGTTTTGTTTGGATCCATTCTGCGATGGAGGATTCTATGTTTGTTTTTGTTATCCCAAGGATAGGTTCGGGCCTATGTATGGTCTTGCAGATCCTCCTCTGGCCAGTTTGTCTGCTTCTTCGTTACCCAGAATTCCCCTGTGCCCTGGCACCCAAGATATCATCAGGTTGTTGTGTTTTCCAAAGTTTTGGAGATTTTGGATACATTCACTGACGAATTGCGGATATGCAACTGACAACAATTATCAAGCCTATCACTTTGAAAGCGTGTCTTACAGTTTAACTCTATGTTTCTTATATGGAATTTTAAAAATTTAATACTTTTTATATGTGTGTCGTTATTAAAACACTTACAAAAAATATACATGTCAAAGATAACGGATTATTTTAAAACCACACGTACATGATTTTTCTTTAGAAAAAGTCATAATTCAATTCGCCAAAGTTATATGGCTGACTAAAGTCCATAAAAAATCTCCCGAGACCGATTGTTTCCAGTATCCTGGACAGGCACACCTACTCACAATCTTTCTGGTTATTTTCCGGTTATTTCAGGCTATTTTGCAAATTTCTTAACGAAAAATTTTAAATATAAAATATACATCTATGTTTACCACAATATCTCTATTTTTTCTAATTTCTAGACACTTTGTGGGTAAAATCTATATCCGATTATAGTTAGATAACTTTATCAGTTTCAATCGCGGGCGTTTATATTTTCGGAAAAGTTTACAATTAGCCGAGTCAAGATATTTACAATTTTTTATGTTCGATTGTTGTCTATATTTATTAACAGATATTACTAATATTAGAAAGTTAATATCAGTCGATTATGATTAGAAAAATGGCAAGGCCTTTTTTTTTAAAGAAAATTAAATCATTCGGAAACTGGCTCAAAATGTTATAACAAAAATTAATCATAAGGAAAATAAAAATGAATAAGAATAACCTTAAATAAAAGGTAAGGTAAATACAACCTTTCTAACAATATTTAAAAAACTAGATTGGGTTTTATAATATGTGGTAGTAAAACAATATGACCTTTATTTATTCTAGACTATTTTAATTTAATTAAAATATAAATATATTTTCAAATAGAGAACGCGATGGGCCAGTTGTTAGTGCGTCCGGGTCGTTTTTGCCATATTAGCGGTTCTGTGTTCGAATGCCGGCACGCCTGGATTTTAATTGATAATATAAAAAGTAATAAGTTAAGCACAATACTTACTAAAATAAAAATCTATGAACATAGTGGAATTGGACAACATACACTAATTAAACGGAAATAAATTGTAGTCTTAGGCAAATTCTTCATGCTTGTATTATTTTAAATATTTAATAAATATGAATTCCTGGAATTCCAGTCACAATGGACTTTATCTGTTATGTTATTAATCGCTCTCCGTATGATTTTGGTCTAAGTACAGCACAACGGCCCGGCCAAGCTTATAAGTAGCGCTATTTACATTTCTCTTCAGAGATTTCTAAAACGTAAAATACATTTTACATTTCTTTGTGCTAGTGTAAATTTGTGAAGTTTTTGTAATTAAAAAAAAATTCTTTAACTTTGTTTTACTCTTACCTTTACCAAGGAGAAACCTATGGATGTAAGAGTTAGCCCGCCTATGATGTACATTATGCAACCAAGCATAAATTTCCTATCCTTAAATAAAATATATTATATCAAAGATACAATACATTTTATAAACATTGTACCAAATTTTGTACATTTTATAAACACTAATTTTACCAGGATGAAATCCCCGAAGCCTATTGTATACAGTGTTATTATGGTAAAGTATAAGGAGTCCAAGTAATGTAGATGTTCTTCGCTTGACATAAAAATTTTAACGCCGATGAGAACGTAAAAGATTTCAACCGTGAAAAATATCAACATGGGCCTCTTTGATACTCCGGAAATTTTAAATCGCCTCTTTTCATTTTTTTCCAACTGGCGTTCGTCTCTGCTAAAAAAAATTAAACCCCTTGATCTGAATTCCGAATAAAATACTATAAGACACAAATAACATACAATTTGCCACCCTTGGGGTCAAGTGGAAGTATGTGATCAGACGTCGTATTTATAAGATTTGCAAACGTCTCGCCGACAAAGCCGAGTAATATTAGAAACAACGGTATGCCAAAAAAGGCATAAAACATCATTAAAATTTTCCCAACAGTGGTTACAGGCGTAATGTCGCCGTACCCTGTAAATAAAAAATTTAACACGTTCTTCTGTTTTTGTTTGAGAATGTGATTACCGATGGTCGTGCAAGTCGTAGCGCAGAAGAAAATGGATCCAGTCAAATCCCAACTGAGTTCATCTCCTCGAGCAAATAGGTACTTGTTTATTTTAAATTTTTCAGTCAGAAAATCGTAATATTCGTTCAACAGTGAATCAGTAACCTTAAAAAAATTCAAGAGTAATCACGTAAATTTCTGCAGATTGAATTGGTTGTCTGTTTTTCTATTCACAACGTATCGCTTGTATTTGCAGTTGATCTTGTTTAGAGTGAACCAAGGATTCGAACATCCTATATCAGAGGTGGCAAAATCGTATTTTTCCTTAAAATGCGTATTGGTTAACTGTGATTGGTTCATCTGTGAAGGTTACAAAATTTCGGAATGTGTCGGACAGATCAAACCAGCGAGCATGGGCAGAAGATGATCATTATCGATCAAAGTAAATGATTTTTTTTTTAAATGATTCTAGCTTGAATGTATCGCTTGGTTGGTTCTCGCCATCATCAGTTTGTCTGTTGTATTTGAATATGTAGCTTGATCATTTCCGATCATTTTGGGTGTTTTATTTTCCCCGAAAGTGTCACTTATGATGATTGCAAAATGCCGATATGCAACTGACAGATTAAACCATCAAGGGTAGGCAGACTAAGATGATCAGTATAACTTCAATTAATAATTTGAATTGGGGCTGCGGCCATGATGGTTAATCAAATACAGATGTAAGATTTTCTCCTGGACACGTAATTTGATCATTACCGATGATCTAGGTCTGCCTATCCTCCTAAATTGACTATCAAATACATCGTCTGTTTTATAAGTCTGTAAGAGGTTGTCTTTCTTAGTCTTCGATGTAATAAGTCTGGGGTTTTTTTTATTGTTCTGGTCAGTATTTTTGATCATCCTTTTCTTTATATTTCCCACACTGGTTTAACTTAGGTTTAATTTAAAAAAATGTCAAAAACAAGATCACGTCACAACCTTACGTGAAGCCTGTTAACTTTTGTTTTTAATTGCCAATATCAGAACAATAGTAAATCAGATTAGACGTTTTTATAAAAGAAAACTAAGCGAGAACATAAAAAACAGTAAACATCCAAGTTTCACATGCCTGGAATAGTAGTTTTCGTAATAAACTTTGACCACGGTTAACCAAGTTAGCCACGATCGTTTAGTTTTGTTAAACATTAGACCAAACAAACGGTATAACAATAAGTAAGAATAACAACAAAATTGATTGAAACGTTGTTAAAGAAAAAACTCTATTCCGTTCATGGAAATAAAAAACATAGTTTCTGTAGATCGTACCGAGTCCAATTTAGCGAGTTTCGCTCTCTCTTCTAATACTTCATTGACTAACTTTTGTTCGTAATATCCCTCAACTGCGCGGAAAACAAATGCGCCTAACAGGGTGTAAAGAATTACAGCAATACACATCAAGATGTAAAACAACATGACATTCTTGGATCTGGTTAAATATTCATTCAAATATATAATCAACTTCTCTGTCCAATGCAGGTTATTATTTTCTGAGATCTTAAATTCTGAAATATTTTCTCCAAATTTATATAATGTAAATTAATTTTTAATTTGTTAATTAAGTTAAAATAATAATTAATGCGATAAAGGAACATGGCATGAACTTCATTTTAACTAATGTAATACCTTCGTAATGAGATTTAAATTCTTCCCGTAGTTTTAAAGATATTGATTTCCTGATCCTTCTATGGTATTTAGCCGTTTTCTTCCATAAATGTACATTTTTTAAGTATTTTTCTAAGTGTTTTTTCTTTCCAAGGGTCTTATTTAAGTTCAACAATTTTGTCGGTGTTGTGACCTTCAGTTTTACCTCCCTTAATCCAATAAACTTCGTATGCATGTCTAATCTATCCTTTCTTTTGTAATTATGATGTACAAGAATCTTCTTCTTTAATTCGACGTTGTCGTTTTCAAGTGCATTAGCTGAATCGGTCAGGTCCTGGCACCTGTACGACACCTCGGCCACGGCATCTTGGATTAAATACAACAAGTAGCGAATTTCTTTGAGATTTTCCACTTTTTCCTTGATTTCCCAGTTTCCGTTGACTTTTGTATACGAAATGTTTTCTCTTCTTTGCGTTGGCATTTGTTTCATATTGCGTTGATCTTGATTATCTTTCGGTTTAGTTCAGAACGGTTTATTATGTTTCAAATAACAATTGTCTGATATTGTATTATTATCGTTGCTAGCGGAAACCGATATAATGAATTATACGTTCTGAAGGATAACTAACCTCTTATCTTTACAATGACAACTCAATAACTTAGTTTTCAATGCTAAAATGTCTAACAAGAAATAAAGGAGTTTTCTTCTACAACGTATTCAATAACATGTGTTTTTGTCCATAATTCCACATATGGTCGATGGTAACGGACTTAACCACAGCGATCCGGCACTCTGACGATAAAAATACATTAAAAACATGTATGTTAGAAGAAATCAAAAGCGTCCGTGAGCCGGATGGGCAGAGAAGCTCTCACGTATGAACAGTACTATCGATAAGTGGTCCTCCAAAAATCTGACTCGTAGAAGAAGGTTCATCCTCATTAGATTTAGGATAGCCCATGCAAGGTGGGCACACGGACAATTACGTTTGGGCCAAAATGTGTCCGGTATATGTAGAGAAAGATTACTCTATGTGTCCCACCCAATTAAAGGTAGCAATTCCTTGACTCCATATAGAGAGCGTGTAGGAATGCCTCCTGATATGAGAATTGTGCTTGAGCACGGCAGTAATCAGGGCCCATGTACTGATTTTTAGAGGAAATGTACTACTGTATTGATATCTCGTCTTGTGTGTCTTAGTGCATTTTAAGAATGAATATATTTTTTATTATTTAATGTTTAGTGTTAAAGGGCTGATGGCTAAATATTGGCGACGCCATCGACCTTCATCATTAGGTTAGTTTTGCGGAAGTGTCGCACACTCCCTCTCCCTTTCTCTCACTTTCTCTCTCTCTCTCTCTCTCTCTCTCTCTCTCTCTCTCTCTCTCTCTCTCACTCATTCACTCACTCACTCTAAAATCTCCTTTGCGCATATTTTATTTGGTTGTATGTCTTATATTTTTGGTGGTATTTTAAACTATTTTGGTAGTGTCTGCATGCGAAAAATCTCTGAATATTGTGCATTATTTAATAAGTGACAATGCTAAGCCAGTAACACATTATGGACTTTCGGAAGTGTCGCACACTGAGCCGTACTTTAAGTCCTTTCCTCTCTCTCACTCTCTCTCTCTCTCTCATTCTCTCCCTCTCTCTCTCACTCTCTCTCTCTCTCTCTCTCTCTCTCTCTCTCTCTGAAATCTATTTTGCACATATTTTATTTGATTGTTTGNTCTCTCTCTCTCTCACTCACTCACTCACTCACTCACTCACTCACTCACTCACTCATTCACTCATTCACTCACTCTGAAATCTATTTTGCGCATATTTTATTTGATTGTATGTTTTCTATTTTTGGTGGTATTTTAAGCTATTTTTCTAGTGTCTGCACGTGAAAAATCTCGGAATATTATGGATTATGTATTTAATAAGTGGCAATGCTAAACCAGTGACACCTTACAGTCTTGCGGAAGTGTCGCACACTGCGCCGAATGTTAAGTCCTTTCTTTCTCTTCTCTCTCTCTCACTCACTCTCTCTCTCTCTCTCACTCTCTCTCTCTCTCTCTCTCTCTCTCTCTCTCTCCCCACGCTCTCCATTTTTTCTTAATTTATTTTCATCCACAACTGAACATGTATTATGTACAACGAGCACATTGAATTTCAATTTTGATTGTGGACATTACGGTTATAGTTTTCAACTAACAATAATCGCATCTCAGTAGGACTTCACTGATTACGATATTGCCACTGCGCAAGGTGTAAATTTGTCATCACAATTTGTAAAAATGGGACCAAGGTAGCCTAGTAGATACCGGGGTCGTGGGTTCGATTCCCACCGTCGCCCTTGGAATTTTTGGCCCATCCCCTTACTCAATATCCATGAGAATTAAGTAACGAGGCTTTTCTAATGTGCTAGTCACGACGTCATTAACAAATTAAATTATTTTATTTTGGTACCTACCTATATTATTTCTCTGACGATAAGTTTTCAAAAATATTTTTACTAATCCATATATGTTTAGTGGTCAGAATTGAACATATTAATTATTTCAATTTTTTTTTATCTAAGGACTTCATAATGATAGCTCAAGTGGTTAGAGCAGCGGCGTATTGAGCCGAAGGTCGGGGGTTCGAATCCGGGTCATGACACTAACTTTTCATCCAATCAAGACCTTTGTTAAAAGAATAATTAATTGCAATATTCTTTGAAGTTTACCGATCATAATTGACTTATTTAATTATTTCAATAGTAAGACATTTTATCTAACGTTTTGGTTGAGATGAAAAAGTTAATGTCACGAGCGGGATTCGAATCCATGACCTTCGGCTCCACACACCATTGCTCTAACCACTTGAGCTATCGTGTCATGGATCGTGGTGTCCCAGAGGATCGAAGTCACTATAGCTCAGGTGGTTAGAGCAGCGGCGTATTGAACCGAAGTTCGTGGGTTTGAATCCCGGTCGTGGGACTAACTTTTTTATCTCAACCAAGTCCTTAGTTAAAAGAATAATTAATTGAAATATTCACTGTTATTTTATCTGATTCAATGTTTATTCTTATATGAAATTTGTATTATTTAATGTATTTTATCCGACGGTCAACCGGTTATCCGGATCGGTCACACTCGTGCGACTCATGGGTACCTGTTGGTTGGCGCTAGTCGACCTAGGTGTCCAGGATGCCAAGATGACAGATTCACGGTGTCGCACGTGTTGGAGTGGTGTCGCAGCTTGGCCCGGTATAGGGACCGAAATGGAATACCGCCAGATTATAGGAGAATGCTCGAGCATGGCAGTGAGTTTAAAGAAAAACTTTTTAGGTTTTTAAGAGATATTGGGATAATGGGTTGTATATAGTGGGGTATTTATTTCATAGGCTAAAGTTTAGATTTAGATCGTGATATAATAGGAGTATGCTAAGCCGGGTCGGGGCGGAATATCGAGTACCCTCCGACCCGGATTCTACACAGAGGATATGCAAGTGTGATTGGGGTTGTATATAGGAGTATGTATGTATTTATTGTATGAGTGAGTATGAGAATGACTATTTTTAGGGAACGAAAGGGCGCTGAAATGACCAAAGAAGTCGATGGCGCCCGACCAGAGCCCAACCTCGGAGTCGCTCAGGCAACAAGTTGGATACTCCACTTGATCTATCAGGGAGAGGCCAGAGGCCTCCTAGGAGGTCTCGTAATTCTATTTTCTATTTCTATTTTAATGTATTTTTATTCAAAAACAAAACCCTAAGCGCATAATCAACCATTGACTCGATGAAACACAATACGATTATTTATCATATTGAGGCCAGACAGAAAGTGTCTGTTCGGACAGGAGGAAGATGAGTATAAAAAGAATCCCGGGTTGGATCTTACGCGTTTACGTCATTACACTTCGACGATTTGACGCGTTCGATCCTCTTCGTTCTATTAATAATTTGCCGAGTATGTCTTAACGCGTACAAAGACACGTTGTTTACACTATTTTTACCAGGAGGTCGGTTTATTTCGGCAGAAACCGTCCGATTCCGGCTCTACGCGGATTCATAACTCACCTTCCCCATCCCATCCCAGCCCAGCACCCAGTCTCTCTTTCAGTGCGGCCCAAATGCCGTTACAGATCCGTGGGACGAGCAGAGCAACGTTTCGTTTCATCTGTTAACATCAATGTTTGCAATTGTCAAACGTTGCTGACATGTGTGAGAAAAATAAGTGAAAGTTCAATATACTGTGAAACATTTAAACAAGTCTATTACATTTAAAATACTTAAAATAAAGTCAGTATTGTTCAGTTTTATTTATTTTTTATATTTTTTATTTTGTATAAATACTTTTTTCCACATAATCAAACCCGTTGCAGAGTTTATTGATTGCATGCAGTGAAAGCTTTCAGACGCAACCGCATTTTGTGTCAAGCAATCCTCTTTAAATATTTAAATCAAAAAAGCTTAAAGTTCATGTTTTTCTTTAAAAATAATAAAAATGCATAAAAGTCTGATTATTTTTGCATGCAGAGAAAGCTTTCTAAAGCAAAATTGATGAGAAATATTTCACAAAGCAGAGCATCCGTTTTGTATATTTAAATATAACTCGTTTTTATACTTTGTAATGTCTCTTTGTAACAAGTTCTAACACATTGCTTATTTTTATTATTTTATTTATTCATGTTAATAAAATATTGTTTCATGACTTTTTCAACTCTTTTTGTAGAGTAGGTACCACCCAGTCCTGCACACCATTGAACCATTATACTTATACTATACTTTACTGAATCATTATATTTTAAAAAGAAAAAACATTACAAATGTTCTTATTAAAAAGTAAAAAACGACTAGCTGAGAAGTAGAATGGGAAAACAATGCTTAATTTTCTAGTTTATCTCGTGACACCTGCTGGCAGAGTCACGTGTTGACTGAAAACTGTATTTTATTTCTGCCCCGTTTATTCCAAAAGTGGAAATTCCTACTATTTGCAATTGTTCATCAAGAGACATCAAGAAGACACTGAAAGTTACGAATTTTTTTAAATTGAATCATGAAATCATCATTGCCAAATTGTACTAGAGAACCATTTATTTGTGATTTACACTAAACCTGGACTATTCAGCAATGAGACATGTTAATTAGAAGAATCTTAGTTGAATACAAATAATTTTACATGTTTTATCCAATTCGACATAAAACTCGATTGAATTATATTCAAACTATTCTTTAAAAAACACGGTAGTATTGCAAAGTTTGCTGTGAGATTTTTAGATTAAAAACAATAAGACGTTTTCGAATTTTTTGTGGTAATTATTATTTTTTTAATTAGAAACAGAACAAAAACAATATTCAGTAGAACAGTTTACTCTTTTTTCCTTTGTTTATTTATTGACGTTTCAAAACTCTTTGTCCCTTTTATTTAGGTAGCCTGAATCAACAGTATCTTTTTAATTTTCCATATTTTTTTATTTTAATTTACTTAAAGGTATGTATACTAGGTGTTTTGATGAGCTGTTGCTCGTTTAGTTTACTTGTATGTACAAATTTTTTGAAGGTATACTACGAAATTTCAAAGGTTATTTTTATACCCAATTAAATGATTTATTAAATGATAAATTACATGGATTTACACATTTTATCAATTATATATGTTTCATTGATTCGTCAGTTGTAAAAGAGGAAAACAGAATTTGACGTTACTCAATTTTCTCCTAATGATCCAGTAGGTACTGGGTAGTACACTATTAATTTTTCCTATTTTCCAACTTTATTTTAACTTTTCTTGCGCTTAAGAGAGAATCATTCAATCAACTAAAATTCATTTTACATTTAAAATTGTAAAGTTACTGTTGTTTTAAGCCATGTTGATAAATGAGTTTAAGATTCATGAAATATTAGTAATTAAAAATTCGTTTTTCATTTTTTTTTCACATCCACAATCAGATAACAAAATATGATAATATTATTTTACATTTTTGGAAAAAATTGCATACAAAAAGTAACAAATAATTTTATACATTTTTAAATTTTGTTTAATACCATAAATAAAGTTAAAAAATATATGTATTTCTTATTAAATCTAATTTCAACGTTTTGCAAATAAACAAAGACATTTCAAGAGTTTATAGACCATAAAAAATATGTAAAAATATAAATTGTTTTTGGAAAACCTGAAAAATGTGGTTTAATTATAATCTTGATCAAGCAATAAATTCATTACTTGCTAGAAAAAACACCTGCACCATTAGAATCAAAAGATTTTATAAACCATACTTATTCCTATTAGATTATTAAGTAAAATAATACATTTGTTTATGCTAAATTTATAATTTTACGCAAAAAATATTATACATTTGTTTGTATTTACATAACAAATATATTGGTGTTAAACTAGTAGCAATATTCATTTCTGAATTCGTCGATGAATGTCAATTATCTCGATTGCTCTAAAAAAATGACAGTATGTCTGAAACTATAAGTTAAATATTGTAAGTAGATGTTTATATTTGTTAAACTTGTAAAATATTAAAGTTTAAAGTTCTGAAGAAGGGGATATATTTCTTAAAAGCATGACGAAGGAACTTGGTGGGTTTTTGTACCAAAAGTGATCTCTAAAAATCGCCTTGATTTTTAGTGTAAAATGACCAATAAATATCGTTCAAATTGACTAATATTTTTTCCTTCTTTTTTATTATTTTATTCTTTATTTTATATTTTAAATTTGTAACTAGAACACTTAACTTGTCAATAATTTCAATATTTTCGCACTGTTTCCCTATGCATGCACAAACGCCGTTAGGTAAGGTTTTAGTTTTCAAATAATTTGTAGGGTAACTTTTATTTTAACAAACTAATAAATCATTGCTGTTGATATCTATTTTTTGGCAATATTTGATCAATTTAATTTTAATTTTAGCTAATGAGTTATTTGTGTGGTGATTAGTGACCGTTAATCGATAATTATTCAGAAATCGTGAGATGCGGTCTGGTGTGATGTAGGTTTCAGAAAAAAAAACCTTTTTCTGAAACCTACATCAGACCAGACCGCATCTCACGATTTCTGAATAATTAATGAGTTATTGTTCAATTTGACTTAGATACATATAATTTTTGGAAGAAAATGAGAAACGTTACGGATAAAATTATGATCAATAATGATAGAAATTAAATTTATATAGGATCAATTTATTGTTAAACTGGTATTTTACTATAAATGATTTAGCTGTTTTAAAACTCGCTGAATCTGTAGGTTTTCTTCATCGATGGGTAAATAATCTTA